AGAAGAAATTAGACAGTTTTTACAAATAAATAATAATACCAATACAACAGACAGCAATCAATGGGACACAATGAAAGTAGTTCTATGTGGAAAATTCATAGCACTGAATACCCACACTAGGAAAACAGAGCGAGCTCAAATAAACAACCTAATGATGAATCTTAGACTCCTAGAAAAAGAAGAGCAGAAAAACCCAAACCTTGTACAAGAGAGAAAATTATAAAGATTAGAGGAGAAATCAATGCAATTCAAACTAAGAAAATGGTACAAAAAATATATGAATCAAAGAGTTGATTTTTTGAAAGAATAAATAAAATCAATAAACCCTTAGCTAATATTATCCAAAAAATGAAACAAAAGGCTCAGATCCATGCAATTAGTGATGAAAAAGGTGAAATCAAACAGATCTAACAGAAATCCAGAGGATCACCAATACCTGCTTTGAGAGCACATACTCTAACAAAATGGAAAACACAGAAGAAATGGACAGATTCTAGATATTTATGAATTACCAAAGTTGAGCAAAGAAGATTAAAATTTTTAAACACCCCAATTACAATCAGTGAAATTGAAAATGATGTAATTAAAAACTTACCAACAAAGAAAAGCCCAGGTCCTGATGGATTCACTGCTGAATTTTACAAGACATTTAGAGAAATTGAAAGGGACGCAATACTTCCAAATTCATTCCTGGAAGCAAGTATTACTTTGATTCCCAAACCAGGGAAAGATGCAACTAAAAAAGAGAACTACAGGCCAATCTCTTTAACAAATATAGATACAAAAATCCTTAATAAGATACTAGCAAACAGAATATAGAATATCATCAAGAAAAATCATACATCCTGACCAAGTTGGATTTCTTCCAGGAATGCAAGGATGGTTCAACATATGTAAATCAATAAATGTAACACACTATATTAACAGAGTCAAGGACAAAAACCATATGATCCTCTCAATAGATGCAGAAAAAGCATTTGACAAAATTCAATACCCACTCATGAAAAAAATCATGCAAAAAATTGGAATAGATGGCCTATATCTCAACTTAACAAATGCTATCTATGAAAAACCAACAGCCAACATCATATTAAATGGCCAAAAGTTGAAAACCTTCACGTTAAAATCAGGAACAAGACAAGGATACCCACTATCACCACTCCTTTTCAATATAGTTCTGGAAACATTAGCCACAGCAATTAGACAAGAGAAATAAATTAAGCAATAAAGATAGGAAAGGAAGAAGTTACTGTCAGTATTTGTTGATGATATGATACTGTATATTAAAGACCCAGAAAACTCCACCAAAAGATTTCCAGACTTAATTGACACTTTTAGCAAAGTAGCTGGATACAAGGTCAACACCCAAAAATCAATAGCCTTCTTATACACAAATAACAGACTCACTGAGCTAGAAATTAAGGAAATAATTCCTTTCACAATAGCATCCACAAAAAATGAAGTATCTAGAAATCAATCTAATGACAGAAGCAAAAGACCTCTACACTGAAAACTGTACCACTCTGAAAAAGAGACCAAAGAGCACATAAGAAAATGGAAAGATATCCCCTGATCCTGGGTAGGAAGAATCAACATAGTGAAAATGGCCATACTACCAGGACTGCTGTACAGATTCAATGCAATGCCAATTGAAATTCCAATACTATATTTCACAGAACTAGAAAAAAGAATCCAAAAATTCGTTTGGAACCAGAAGAGACCTAGAATAGCAAAAGCCATCCTAGGCAACAGAGATGGCAGCGGGTATAACAATTCCCCATTTGATACTATACTACAAAGCCACTGTGATAAAAACAGCATGGTACCAGCAAAAAAACAGACCAGAGGATCAGTGGAATAGATTGGAATATACAAAAACAACTGCAAATGTACTCAGCTAACTCATCTTTGACAAAGGAGCCAACCATCCTCACTGGAGGAAAGATAGCCTCTTTAATAAATGCTGTTGGAAAAGCTGTATTTCAACATGTCAAAGATTAAAACTAGACCCTTATCTTTCACCATGCACTAAATTAAAATCCAAGTGGAATAAAGATCTAAATATTAAAACAGAAACACTGAACTTGCTGGAAGATAAGTTAGGCAGAACTCTTGAAGACATTGCCATAGGAAAAGACTTTATGAACAAATCCCCAGTAGCACAGGAACTAGCAGAAAAAATCAACACCTAGGATATCATCTTATTAAAAAGCTTTTACACTGCAAAAGAAACCATCAACAGAACTAAAAGACAACCTACAATGTGGGAAAACATTTTTACCAGCTGCTTCTCAGACAAGAATATATAAAGAACTCAAAAAAAAAGGCTCCCCAAATTTAAAGACCTGATTCAAAAATCGGCATCCGAAATGAACAGACATTTCTCAGACAAAGAAGTAAAAGCAGCAAGTAAATATATGAAAAAATGTTCCACATCACTGGTCATTCAAGAGATGCAGATTAAAAACAACACTGAGATTCCACCTCACCCCACAAAGAATGGCTGCTATCAAGAAATCACACAATAACAAATGTTGGAGGGGTTGTGGGGAGAAAGGAACCCTTCTCCATTGTTCATGGGAGTGCAGACTGGTGCAACCACTGTGGAAATCAATATGGAGATACCTCAAAGAGCTGGGACTAGAGGTTCCATTTGACCCAGCCATCCCTCTGCTGGGTATCTTTCCAAAAGAATTAAAAGAATCATACCAGAGTGATATATACACACTCATGTTTATAGTGGCACAGTTTGTAATAGCTAAAACTTGGAAACAGCCCATTTGCCCATCAGTTTTAGACTGAATAAAGAAAATGTGGTTTTTCTATAAAATGGAATACTACTCAGCCATAAAGAATGAGAAATTAGAGTCATTGATTGGAAAATGGATACATATTGAGGATATACTCCTAAGTGAAATAAATAAGTCACACAGGTATAAATACTGAATAGTTTTTCTGGTGTGAAAAACTATAATAGTACATAAGATCCTAATGAGATAATTGACAATGTGAAATAGAAAGAAAAGAGCTAAAGGTGTAGGGGAAATGGGAAGGGTATGGGAAAGGAAATAAGGGAAAAGCAAAAAAACATGAGAAAATGGAAATAAGGTATTTGTAAATAGAGAAGGGAGGAGGGGTGAAGGGAGGGCAGGGGTATGAGGAAATAATGAGAGCCAAGACCTGTCATGTAAAGGTACAAGATCACAATGATGAATGTAACTGTACTGTATACCTAAAATGTACCAATAAATTCAATGAGGGGAAAAAGTCTAAGGCTAAGTCATGGTGTTATGTGCCATCCCCTTCCCCCAGGATTAAATCTGAAGCCTAAGAGAAACAAAAAGACAGACAGTGAGCTGGTCAAGGTGGTGCATGCTTGCAATCCCAACACTTAGGGACACTGGGGCAGGACGATCACAAGTTCAAGCCCAATTTGGGCAACTCAGTAAGCTTCTGTCCAAAAAAAACAAAAAGTGTGTAATTCCAATTACATGGGGCATTTAGAAAAACCAGATTCATACAAACAGGAAGATATGTAGGCTGCTAGTGCTGGGGAAGGACATGAAACACAAATGTTTAGTGGCAACAGTTTCCGATTGGGAAGATAAGATTCTGGAGATAGATGGAGGTGATGGTGGTGGCTAATGTGAATGTGTTCAATGACACTGAACTGGACCCTTAAAAACGGTTAAAATAGCCAGGCTTGGTGGCGCACGCCTGTAATCCCAGCTCTTGGGAAGCTGAGGCAGGAGCATCGCTGTGAGTTCCAGGTCATACATAGTGAGTTCCAGGGCAGTTTCAAATACATAGTGAGACCCTGACTCAAAAGACGAAAAGAAAACAAAACAAAAGGGTTAAAATACCAAATTTTGTTATGGGTATTTAACCACAGTTGAGAAAAGAAACTTTATAAAGGTACAAGATCCCAATGATGAATGTAACTGTACTGTGTATCTAAAATGTACCAATAACTCAATGAGAAAAAAAAAAAAAGAAACCTTATTTAAAAACAAGACCGGCACAATGTGTTCTGGAGAAGAGTGAAGATTACAGATGCTCTTCTGCACAATGTACTGAACGCCAAGTGGGGAACCAAACCGATTCATTCTCCTTGCCTGCCAAAGGTGCTTAGGTAACTGATTATATGTAATTCAGATTCAGGAGTCAAGTCTATTAAACAAGGGGAAATTGTGCAGCAATTTTAATTAGATAATAATGATGATTCCTTTTCTTCTTTGCTAAAAGCCTTACATAAAGACGGCCATTGGGGGGCAACCCCCTCCTTTCCTCAAAACCTCAGAAACAGAACAGAAAGACGATTGCAAAAGCAGAGAAGGGTAACAGCACGCCTTCATATTTACCGCCCCCCAGCTTCTGGCAGCTGATTGCTCACTGTCGCGATCGTATCCCCAAGCTTTTAACTGTCACTGAACGAGGGGCTGCACCCCAGTGGTCTTAGCGCTGGAGATTTCAAGTGGACTAGCGCTCTTAGTCCCCTAGAACGCCACAGCCCCGAATTGCAGGGCACTACTCTCTCCTGCCTCCTTGTTGGCTCTTCGCTCTCTTCCGCTCGTCTTCCTCATCTTTCTTCTCTTTCCAGCCCCTCTCTCCCCTCTTTTGCTCTTTGAAGTAGTGAGTTCGCGCAAGTCCGATGCTAGCCATACCTTCCTCCTAGACAGAAATCCGAGCGGCCAAAGAGGAGAGGAGCTGAGAGGATCCACGCGCCGGGCGCCGCCCCCAGCGCTCGGCGCTCGGGTCAGGAATGGGCCGGCTCCGCAGGGTAACAACCTCGGCGCTGTTCC